AAACTGTTAAGAAGTTGGATCCTTCTTAGTTTAGGTTTTTAACAACTAATCACATCACTATCTGGGAATATTTGTTGGAGTGTTTGCTCTTTGCATTAGAAATTTAGAAAGAAAAAAAAAGTCTTGTTGTTTCTCCTATAGTTTGAGCTGTTTGGTATTTTACATGAATAAATGATGTTTGAAAATAAGCTTCAGAAAAACTAGTTTTTTAACTTGAAAAATGTATAGAAATATTCAGAAAAAGAAATTCTTGATTGTTACCTGAATTTCGGGAAGGTTCTATAGAGGGAACATTGGAGACTGGTGTGTAAGAATAAATAGTCACATGAGGTTGAAGCTGCATGAGTATCTTGAAACCAAGGACAGATTTTTGAAAGTCTAGATTCAGTTCGTGGGATCAATATGATTTAGAATTGAATCTCAGTCAGTTTTGTAGGCAGACTCCTTTCCCCAAATAATCTCTTCAACATTGTAGGATCCATCCAGTGCCTTCTACAGTTTAGAAGCTAGATATTACAGTCCACCAGAACCCCAGGGAGTTTTTGTTTGGCATTGATATATATATGTAGAGAGGTCTGTGCCACTTGCTTAGTGATTGTCATACCCTAGAAAGTAATATTTTCTTTAAAAAATAAGGCATCCTAGCCTTGCAGTAAGAGTTATTAACAATTTTTCTCTTGCTCACACATGCTTTCCTTTTCTCCCTCTCTTATCCCATTTTGTTTGGCATATGATTTAAAAGTGAAAACATTTGAAAGAAATTCCCTGGGATAAGGACTGGTTCAGAGTGACAACATAGCACTAAATTAAGGTTATTCATATAGATCTGATGCAATTATTGGTGATCTTGTAGTAATTTTATATACCATTTGAATCTTCACTTGTCAAAAGCATTTTAAAATGCTGGTACTTAGAAATTCCCTGGGATAAGGACTGGTTCAGCGTGACAACATATCACTAAAATTAAGGTTATTCAGATAAATCTGATGCAATTATTGGTGTTCTTGTAGTAATTTTACATACCATTTGATTCTTCACTTGGCAGAAGCATTTTAAAATGCTGGTACTTTAAGTGCCAAATAATGTGTCTGCATTATTTTGTACATGTAGGAAGTAGTATACAATCTACTGGAGATAGGAGAGGCACTGAACACTGTGTGATGTAGGACCATTTTTGTGCAAAGGTGATATAGGGCCTTCCATGAGGTTTTAATGCAGCCTCCCATGATATCGACCTTTGTTGGCCCCAAATCCTATGGTGCTATCGTGCTAAACATGCTATTCAAATTACAAGAAAGAAAAGATGATATGATGGCATATGCTTTAGTGATGTTGCTTATTAGAGAAGCACTAGAAAACTTCTTTGAGTAGATTGCATTATTTTTG